TATTATATGGATACAGAAGTATTCGATATCTCAGGATACGGGGGCACGTGCCGCTCCTCATATTTTCACTCGTATTAGCTTTTCCATTGCAAAAGGAGTGGGGGCCCAGATAGTATCTCGGTTCCCCTCCAATTTCTTGTAATCATTTTGATTCCATATAATAAATAAATAATAATAATAAAAAAAAAATAATAAATAATAATAATAATAATAATAACAATAATTTCTATATATTAATTCAAAACGTTCTGAGTTTAAGTGGTTGGCTCGCACGACTTAGAATCAACCATAAATAATTATTTCAGCTTACCTTATAAATCTATGTTTCATTGCCATAAATTTATTGCCTCCCACAAATTTGTTATTAATCAATATCCTATAAATCTCTCTTTCAGTACCATAAATTCAATATTAATCAATGTTAATAGTATACAAAATGAAATAATCTCTCTTACGTATATAAAAATGAAATTTAAGTTTATTAATTAAAATGAATTGTATACTTGAAATTTAATTCTCGAGTATGTCAAATCCATTTGTTGGACAAAATGAAATTGTATACAAAATGAAATTTAAGTTTACAGTACAAAGTGAATTCTATATATTTTATTTAGCTATATATTTTGTTTTTATTCTGTTAAAATGAATTATTTAGTTACTGTCCTAAATAATTTTATGAACACATTTCAATATGTTTATACTACCATGTATAAAACCAACCATTCATACTATTTCTTTTTTTATTTGATACATCATGAAAAATAATGGCAACAACATTCAAAAAATTAAAATAAAATTTTTTTGTTTATCTTTAAATATTTTGATGTAAATACTTTTTAAATCAATATCTACACGGGTGTTGTACTAGTGAGATATGAATCTCCACCGAACGTCCCCTAAAAATTATTTTTTTATTAGAATCACATATATTTATTTTAGGTCCTTCTTCATTCTAGGCCAATATCAAAAACAAACATTGGGATATGATCAATTTTTTCTTATATTTCTCCACATCATTTAATATTGAAATCTATTTTTATGACAACTAAACAAAATTAGACCTAAATCATTACAGATAATGCTAAAATATAATTTTTTTCAATTGAAACATCATATTTTAAAATTAATATATTTTAAAAAAAATAATGGGACAATCTATCACTTTGACATGGAAGGATCACAATTTTTCACGTCATCACGTAATCAGGTCTCTGGGATTACTGTACTAAAATTGACGAAAATTATAACATAGTAGACTATTTTCTATGAGAGGAAAAATGGTGTACCAAAACACTGAACAATGGTCAAACTTATATATGACCAAAATTGGATTTTTGCATGTTCTTTATTTTCATATTCCTAATTAAAATGTCCCC